TAGTTAGGCGTCTGATAATTATCGAGGCTAGTATTTTATATACTATATTAGTTAAACTAATCCCTCTGTGGTTGTCACATGATGATTTTGACCCTTTCTTATATATTGGGACGATAAGTGATTGTGACCAGTTAGATGGGATAACGTCTAACTCCCAGATCTTAGCTAAAATATTAGTCAACCTAGTCGCTAAAATTGGACCACCATCCTTAAAGACTTCTGGAGCCAGTCCATCTGGACCAGCTGCCCTTCCTCGTTTCAGATTAACTATAGCCTTTTGAACTTCAGCGAGAGTTGGGGGACCTACTTCAATGTTCCATTTACGCTGTCTGGGAATGGAGGGTAGTTGTAGAGTAGCTGAAGGCCAGCTGAACTGTTCTCTGAAATGTTCCGCCCATCGTTCTAAACGTCTGGACTGGGAGCGGATGAGAGTATCGCCTTTTTCCGAAATAATCTCACTTACACTTGACTTATTAATTCCAATTTCTTTTATTAGTCTGTAAAGCTGTCTTGTGTTCCCCATAGTCGCCGCCTTTTTCATCTCTTTTGCTTTCGTTGCCCACCACTGCTCACGGTCGTTTCTTAGACTTTTTCTTAACCTAGATCTGATTTGTTGTCGCTCTTCATCATGTTCGGAACCTGATGGGACGAGTTTGCGAGAATCCATCAGTGTGATAGACTTTGAAGAAATCCACTGGTTCTTTGTAACTCTGTGGTTTAAGTCGCTAATAGATGTCACTGCTGCTTCCACAGCTGATTGTATGTCTTTCCAAGCAACATCTGGGTCAGCCTCGTCTTCAGAACTACCTAAGTGTGAACTCAGTTGTTCTTGGAACCTACTTTTGGTTTTCTCGTTACTGAACTCAGTTCTAATGGGTCTTTTTAATGTGGCTTTTTTGCGTCCAGTGAGGCGCAAGCAGATGCGTGCCCGTATTAGGGCGTGGTCGGAGTCCAAGCAGGTACTCCAGAATGAGCGACAATCTTCTACCGACCCTCTCCAACAATGACTGATGGCAATATGGTCTATTTGAGTCCATCGTTGGTTTGGTGTAGGGGGTCGCCATGTTAGACGATGTCTCTCTTTATGCTTAAAATTTGTGTTTGCTAAAAATAAGCGATTGTCTGAGCACAGTTGCAGCAGACGGTCACCATTATCTGTTCGCTGTGCCGGGATGCTAAAATATCCACCTAAATGCCTTTCTGTTTGGTTTAAACTACCTATCTGAGCATTAAAGTCACCCCCTACGAGTACTATGTCTGAGCGTTTAGCTTTCTGAAGAAGTGCGGACAGCTTTCTGTAAAATTCATCTTTCACATCATCTGAGCTGCAGTCAGTGGGAGCGTAGGCAGAAACGACGCCACAAGCATAGAGCAAAACTGCTGTCATCGACGCGTTGTAGATCCGACCTTTTACAGATAGACTAACATCACGAAGGCACCAAAGATGGCCCAGATTGGCATAAGCCGCTCTAGCTTTCACTATACGTGCATTGATCTCATCACTCACACCTCCACCAGCACTTATGCTGCTACCCAGATACACGAACTTCTCGACTATTTCTATCTGTTCACCATCCAGGGTGAGTACAGGATTGGAATCCTGCCAGTCTTGTAGAAGTACTTTGCACTTCGAAGGTGCAAAGCACATACCATACCTACGGACACTGATTGCCAACTGATTAAGTGAGGATTGCATGGCTTGGGCATTATCGCACAGTAAGACAATATCGTCCGCATACTCAAGGTCGAGAAGAGGAATGGTGAGATTGGGCAACCCTGCCTAACCCCACTGCTCGAATAGAACAATGGAGAAAGGTGGCTGTATGCCCTCACTCTGCCTGAGGTGTTTTTATATAGGGCTTTTAGGATGTTAATAAACTTCTCAGGCACACCCTTCTTCAATAGACAATCCCAGAGAACAGTCCTGTCCAACGAATCGAAGGCAGCCCTGATGTCAAGAAATACTACGATTGTTGGCCTTTGATAAGTATGGCGGTGTTCTAACATTTGGCGGAGGGTGAAGATATGATCAATACATCCTCGACCAGAACGAAACCCAGCCTGCTCCTCGCGAGTCAATCTTTCTCGGGTTTTGAACAACCTACGAAGTTTGACGGAAGCCAATAGCTTGGATGCAATCGGAAGTAGACTTATCCCCCGATAGTTGTTACAGGAACGACGTGAACCCTTTTTAAAGATAGGGACAACTATCGACTCATTCCATGACGTTGGTACACACTCTAGTTCCCAAGCCTTTGTAAACAACGTCGTCAATTCCTTAGTCAAAAAGTCACCACCATCTTTAAAAAGAGCCGGAGGTAAGTCATCTGGGCCAGGTAATTTGTAACGCTTCAAGAGTTGGAGTTCCTTGCGGAATTCCTCCTCATTTGGTGGATCAGTCGTCACCGGCCATGGAGGGCAGGACAGTTTGACTGATGTTGCCCGAGCAGCAGGCCAGTTGAACTGCCCTTCGAAAAATTCTGCCCATCGTCCAAGACGTCGATGGATGTTAGTGATTGGCATCCCATCATCCTCGCAGATTGTTTCACTCACACCAGACTTCTTGCTGCCAGTGGCTCGGATGAGTTGGAAGAGCTTCCGGTAATTATCAGATGCAGCTGCTGCTTCCAGCTCATTAGCACGCATCGACCACCAGGCTTCTCGGTCCTTATGCAAGCTTTGCCCAATTTCCTTACGTAACATATTTCGTTTGTGGTCAAACTCACGGTTACCCGGAGTAGACCGACGGGCTTCAATGAGTTGTAAGGAACCAGTGCTTATAAGTGGGACGTTTCGCGAACCCACGACTGACTGTATCCGCCATTTTCATGGCGTCATGCAATTGCAACCAATGCTCATCTATACTTTTCGGTGGAATGGTAGCTAGCCTAGAAGCTAGCTCGGTTCGACACTTATTTGCAACAGAAGCTGCAACCAGCTTGCTAACATCAATCCTTTGGTGGCGGTCACTTCGTCGTCCAGTGAAAAGTAAGGTAAGATTGGCGCAGACCAAGGCATGGTCAGAGTCCAGATAGGTACTCCAAAAAGAGCGGCAGTCTTGTACACAACCACGTCAGTGGTAGCTGATCGAGATGTGGTCAATCTGAGTCCAGGCTTGGGATGCAGAGGGAGGACGCCAGGTGGCACATCGGCGATGACTGTGCCGAAAGTTAGTGCTAGCCAGAAACAGGTTGTGGTCTGTGCACAGTTGCAGTAGACGGTCCCCGTTATCTGACCTGCGACCAACGAGTCCCCATCGGCCACCTAAACGACCCTCTTCTGTTCCTAGACGCCCGAACTGAGCATTCAAGTCTCCGGCTAGTACTACAATATCTGTGGGGCTCACTTTCTGGAGAAGAACAGATAACTGGTGGTAAAACTCATCCTTGATTGCATCCGGGCTGCAATCTGTCGGGGCATAGGCGGAGATGACGAAAAGACATCGTTTCTCACGCCGATTTCTTCTCACTTTGATGGAACTTTCTAATCTGACAGCATATAACCGACTGTTAATGGGGATCCAATCGATTAGTGCTGCCTCAGCTCTAGCGCTTAGTGCGACACCAACGCCAGCAAGACCAGACGAAGATGCCACAGGGTCCCCGGATAAGCGCACGTAAAACAAGCTTTTTGAAGTGACAGATGGAGATCGAATTTGTAGTACTTCGCCAGAGTTTTGAATACGGGTCTCGGATAGACAACAAACATCAATATTAAGACTTTCTAAAGACACAGCCAGCCCTATCTGTTGTCCGACCTGTATAAATGTGCGAACGTTGAAGGCAGCCAGTTTGAATGGTGCACGTGGTTTCAGAAAAACTGCTTCAGTACTCATATTCGGTGGTAACATACAATTTTCAACCGGACAGTGACTCAGGAACGTTTTGATACAGTCGAATTTCCACCAAAGACGAGCTGCTTTATATGTCGAAAAAATAAGTATAGACAGTAGGAATAAAAGATGGTGAATAATGACGTAGTAAATAATAGTAACAGTAATAGTAATAATAATAATAACAATAATAATAATGCGAGTCACTTGATTGTTATTTGGATCGAGAGGGATATTTTTCATAAGTAGACAGTTTATCATGTTTTTGTGTGAGGGCCGAGATACTGCCCGGGTGCCCAAACCGAAGCAGGTGGTTTTCTTAGGAGGCCACACCCCGAGCCTTTGACCTAATGGTCTAACCCACAAGGCAGTGGAGCATCGTAAGGAGATGCAGTTCCATGGTAGCCGGTGACCAACGATTGGTTCATACGCCATACTGGTGCCCATGTGCACCATTGATTTGGAATCCGGTTAAAGCGCAGGACATTCGCTTTTCGTCCTCTCATTTTCGTAAACAACACCCCCGCCACGAGAAGGCAGTGAGTAGGACTTCCCTGGCAGAGGCTGTATACGCGTGGCCGTGTGAGAGTATTTCGAGAGGGAGGGCGAACCCATCCCGCTCTCGGTCATACCAGGGCATTTGGGGGCTCGGTCCCACAGATGTCTGTCTCCATTTCTCGACGTAATGTGTTCTTTGATCTTCCCCTTTTCCTTTGGCCTTGAGGATTCCATGTGCGGGATTGCCTTGTGACACAGTTGGGTGTTTTCTTCAATGTGTGTCTCATCTACTTGCAGCACTTCCTGATTTCTTCCTCCTCTGGGATCTACACATCCACAGACGCGCATTATATTAAACTACTGTGCCTTAAGATCCTTTGTTGTGGCTTGAGATCAGTGATCGTTATCAAATATTATATTGCTCAATCAGGATTCCGATCATTGACTAGTTCATCTACATGACCAATAGGACTGATGACCTAGTATTTCACGAATTTACACACCGACTGATGAATCACTATCAAGGTATTAATGCTTATCGGTCTTCAAGTCCCTTGTTATCAAACATCCAATCAGGAGACACAAAAAGAAAAAAAGATTAATTTTCGTTGTAACCGCGTACACATCAACTATGCTCAATGTAATTTGATTGGATTTTGCTTCTATTCAGAGTGTCCGCCGGATAAAATTGAACTTGGAAAAGCAACATGGACTTTGTTGCATACAATGGCAGCATATTACCCTATACACCCGACATTGAAACAACAAGAAGATATGAAGAAGTTTTTACAAATTTTTCCTCAGTTCTTCCCATGTCGACCATGTGCTTATGATTTTGAGTCTAGTAAGTATAATATACTTTTTTAAAGTATTATTTTTGTTTTGTTTAACTAATAAACAGTTAGTTAAAAGAGTATGCTATTTTAAATGAAGTAGAAATTATTTTATTTCGGCGTTTCCGCAAAACTATTCATCCTTTTCAACTTACCACATATTACTGTATCAGCACAGTAGTGAGATAAAGTTATCAAGACAAATACCTAAGTATTTTCTATAATGTTCTATTCTGTCACCTTAAATCTAGTAGCGATTTGCAGTAACTTTATGGTTTGAAGCACTTGAAGTTCAATCACCAAACGAAAAGCTCCAACTCCGCTTCAACTGGACACAAAACATAACTTTAGAATGAGTGCACAAACACATCCATTGTTACTAAGGTACATAAAAATGATTTACATATAACATTAGTCAATATATCCAGATTTTAGATTATATTTCTTCAAAATACTCCTTATGTATCGTAAAACGATCGAGTGTGCAAAGTTCAGGTTAAAAGAAAGGTTGAGGGGTTGTCAAACCAAAGGCACGCCATCAATCCATGAAGTTATTAACTCTCAGTCTGAGTCATGCTGGCAGACGCAGTCTGTCTAATTTGAGTCCACGTGATCTTAGTGGTTGGCAACTTCCGATGATGTAGCTGAAAGTCGTTCACAGTAGCGTAAAGGAAATCACTTTATATTCATTAAAACCTTGAGTTCGAATATTCTTTCATACATACCTTTTAATTTTGTTCTCTCAAGTGATATCCTCGGTTTTATGTCATACAAATGGAATGTGACTAACAGTAGAATCCAGGATGCATGTCTCGTCCTATTCGGGTTTTGTCGGCTGGGTGAACACCCGCCTCCCGGAGTTGTTCAGTCTCAAACTCGAACACAATACCATTTGCGCCAAAAATCAACGCGTTATCCACCTAGCCACTGATTCCAAATAGCCGCTCACTTGCGCAACGAGTAAATCCAGCTAATCAGTTATAAATAGGAAGAGGATTCCACTGTTAGCTATAATGAATCTATTTTGCATAAAGACTATGTCTAGCCAATCCTCACAGGATGCACATATCTCAACCAAGACTGGTCAAATTTCACTTACAAACTATCAATAATTTTGATGATCCAAACCACTAAAATATTTCCAGTTTTCATTCATTCTCGTTGTCATTTTATTTATTTATTTATTTGAACATATAAATATTGGTACAGAGGGGGCACCAAATAAATATACATCACACAAGTCACTTAGTTTGTGTGTGGGCCGTGATACTACCCGAGTGCCCAGACCGAAACAGGTGGTTTCCTTAGGGAACCATACCCGGAGCCTTCGACCTAAAGGCCTAATCCACAAGGCAGTGAAGCAACGTCAGGAGATGCAGTTCCACGGTAACCAGTGACCAACAATTGGTTCATACGCTATTTGTTCCTTCAGAATCCTGGAACCCATGTGCTACTACTGGCTTGTAATCAGGGCTTTCCAACCCCCACATGTGGATCTTCTGTATCCAGCAACCGGGTTAAGCGCCGGACATTCTCTTCCCATCCTCTCGATTTTGTAAACAATATCCCCGCCACGAGAAGGCAGTGAGTTGAAGTTCCCTGGTAGTGGCTGTATACACGCGACCATGTAAGAGAGTTTCGAGAGGGAAAGTGGACTCCCAACTCTCGACTGTACCAGGGCATTTGTGAACATTGCTGTCATTGCTGCTACAATTACAATGACCTTTTTTAGCCATTCACCTCGTTCATTTAATCTCGTTGCGATAATGTGATATGCGAACTTAGATCAATTCGTGTATATCACAAACTCTTACTTACGTACGTCTGATACCCCCAATGGAGCATAGGCCGCCAACTATTATTATTATTATTATTATTATTATTATTATTATTACTAATGGCTTTATTCAATATTATATTTTGGTACAATATAGAATTCTCAGCACAGGGTATTTCAACAAGTTACTTATGCAAACAAAAATAGTAACAAAGACAAAAAAAAGTTTAAAAAAAATATCTGAGAAACAGTACAACATTTAAAAATTAAAGTCATGTTAAGAATGCAGGTTATTGGCTAGATTAACTCTAACAACCTGTTCGTCACAGAGTATATTTGCTAGATAAGGTATTATAGAACATTTGTACTTTTCTTCAACCCACTCTGTCCTGGATCTACCTTCCTAGTTCTGTCCAATTGTTGTTCATTCCTCTCATGTCTGTCTCCATTTCTCGGCGTGATGTGTTCTTTGGTCTTGCTCTTCTTCTTTGGCCTTGAGGATTTGAACTGAGGGATTGTCTTGTCTTGACATTTGTATTGAAAATTGTGACTTTGGTGTTGGTTGACAGTTGTTTTGATTTTGAGATGTTCTTCAGTTGTAGATATGCTGCTCTCGCTTTGCCGATCCGCGCCTTCACATCTGCATCAGATTCACCGTGTTCATCGCTGATGCTGCTCAGATATGTAAGGGTTTTTGCATCTTCCAAAGCTTCTCCGTCGAGTGTGATTTGATTAGTGTATATTGTGTTGTATCGGAGAATCCAGATTTTCTCCTTGTGTACGTTGAGACCTACTGCTGCTACACTGGTCGTTTTCTCCTGCATTTGTTGTTGCGTGTGCGATAGAAGAGCCAGTTCATATGCGAAGTCTAGATCGTCCAGCTGCATCCTAGCTGTCCACGTATCCCATGCTTCCTCCCAGATGTTGACGTCTTCATGATCCGGTCGACCACCAGGAGAAAGAGAAAGGGTGAGAGTAAGCAACCTTGCCTAACACCGGTCTTTACTTCGAACGAGTTTGTCAATTGTCCTCCATGCACGATTTTGCAGTTTAATCCATCATAGGAATTCTGTATGATATTGACTATCTTCTGAGGCACGCCGTAGTATCGGAGAAGCTTCCATAGTGTTGTCCTGTCCACGCTATCAAATGCCTTTTCGTAGTCAATGAAGTTGATGTGGAGTGGTGAATTCCATTCAACTGATTGTTCCACAATGATCCGTATTGTTGCGATTTGGTCTGTACACGATCAATCCTTACGGAATCCTGCTTGTTGGTCTCGAAGTTGGGCGTCTCCGGAGTCCTTCATCCTGTCTAACAATACCCTGTTGAAGACTTTTCCAGGTATCGAGAGAAGAGTGATGCCCCTGTAGTTATCACACTTGCTGAGATCGCCTTTCTTTGATATCTTGATCAGGAGTCCTTCTTTCCAGTCTGTTGGTACTTGTTCTTCATCCCAAATCTTGCTGAAGAGGATGTGGAGTATCCTTGCTGTTACTGCTACATCTGCTTTCAGCAGCACCATTGATGAACACGGTGAATCTGATGCAGATGTGAAGGCGCGGATCGGCAAAGTGAGAGCAGCATATCTACAACTGAAGAACATCTCAAAATCAAAACAACTGTCAACCAACACCAAAGTCACAATTTTCAATACAAATGTCAAGACAAGACAATCCCTCAGTTCAAATCCTCAAGGCCAAAGAAGAAGAGCAAGACCAAAGAACACATCACGCCGAGAAATGGAGACAGACATGAGAGGAATGAACAACAATTGGACAGAACTAGGAAGGAAGACTCAGGACAGAGTGGGTTGAAGAATGCTAGTTGGCGGCCTATGCTCTATTGGGGTTAATAGGCGTTAGTAAGTACGTAACGCATTAGCATTTTAAAATTACTTTTTTTTTTACCTTGATGAATGTATCCGTGATCTTGTACAAGTGATTTTGAGCCATATCACTCCGTTTTCAGCTGCTAACTACGATTATCTCGCATTTCCCATCCAGATAATCTCGATCTATCTACTTGACTCTATTGT